GGGGATAGAAACCGTGGAAGCTAGAGCTGGTTGGCTAACAATAGTCGTGATTGAAGGATCACTTCTATGATCAAACACGATAATTTTAGCCAAATAGCTTTAGTCTCCACCGCGTCTTTCCTATTTATATATGTGATACCATGTTAACCACTCTCTACGTCCTAGTCTCTGGTATGGCAACCCACATATGTTGTGTTTCTACTTATTTTGATTAGGCTCACTGAAGACGTCCCCTCTTCGCTTCTCATTCTTCTTTTCTCATTCTTCTTTTCTCATCTCCCTACGATCTATTTTCCTATGATTAAGAATATTACCTTGATCTAGTCGTCTTCTTTTTGCTAATCTTGCTTTTGCCTGGTCTTCTCCGAGAAATCTAATGAACAGGAGACTTGAAGAAGGCAGGATCAGCGAAAACTCTGCATATTGCCTAAACAAACTCTATCTTATCTTCGAAGAAAAGTTGGGGTTCGAGGAATCTCTAGTTTCATAATTGCTGTGCTTCGTTCCATTTCAAATAAAAGTGTTTGGTGAAGAGATTCGAAAGTCGATTCCATTAGAATACAACGGCGGATTCCTCTTGACTAACTGTCGATTAGCTTTACTGGAACTTTTTGTTGACGCTGTTTCCGAGGTAACCTCATTCCATTCCTGTGAAAACATGCTAAGCTTTCATCCGTCATATGGCGAACATCATCAGGTTAGTATCATCCTTACAACCAAATTCAAGATAACGAGTCAAGAAAACTTACCGACACATCCCTATAAAGCTGTATATATATTCTATATCTGGCCTCTTTGATGAGGTATAGAGGGATTGAAAGTTATGAAGACCAAGAAGGCCTTTCATGTGGTCGCAGTCTCCTTTCGTTGTATAAAAATTGTTTGATCTTGCTTTGCAACTTGGTCATATTGGTAGAAAGACTTAGAGGAACGCATCTAGTCCTTAGTCCATTTTATGCATCATCATTTCCAGAGTAGGAATATGGACGTAGTACATTCCCAGACGT